CTATATACTATATAGTATATGTATGTGTACATCATTATTTAAATTTTACGTCAACGGTTATTGAAATCAATTTCAAATATTTACTTTTAATTATTTTAAATTCAAAATAATGAAGCTTATTTTGAATCAGTCTAATGTGCATAATATTTACGTTTTTTCGTACTCCGGATAAACAATTTGTTTCATGATGAATACACTGTTATATGTATTATTTGTTTCAGGGATTCATACGGATAGACTTAGCGTTCAATTTTCAAAAGCCAGAGAAGCTTTCCACGCGATCGAGAAACAAAATGCTCAAACGATGGACGTGAGTTGTAACCATTCAATATTGCGAGTGCCTTTTAACGTTTTTCAACGTATATATGTTTCATGTATTTCTCTATTACATTTATAATCGAATCTGAACATTACAGGCTTTAGCCCGAAACATGCAAACACAGGCAGAAGCAGCATCTAAGATTGCAGATGCTGTTTTAATAATTGCGGAAAACGACAAAAAAAGGAATGACATTGTTGAAAGAATGGTTGAAAATGATCGCGTAAGAAATGTGTTGCTGGAGAGTCTCACTCGAATCTTGGAAAATTCACTTCCAAGAAAATCAAATACAAATGAATCGTATTAATGTTTTGTTTATGTTGTTTATGAACTATGTACAAATTATAAGTTTTTATTCGAAACAATAACGTTGTATTAATTTTATTATTTTACGTACATACATTGCCAAAAATGTTACTTTTTAAAATGTAAAGTTTATAGTTCACAAAATGGAAATATTTGTATTTTTTATTTAAAAAATGCTAAATGCTACATACAAACAATTTTATAGATAAGGCTTACAATTATATTTTTCCTTTCTCCCATTATACGTAATGAAATGTCTAATAGTTTAGACACTCAATTCTATTATGCTTTTGAGGCTTTCACGGGTATTTTCTTCAATTATACCAGAAGGTTTGCGGGTTATCGCCGTGTCTTTCTTCATTATTAATGCTATTAATGGCATTAATAATGAAGAAAGACACGGCGATAACCCGCAAACCTTCTGGTATAATTACTCAATTCTATTTTTGAGGCATCATTGATTTCCAAGCTTACTTATCATTGAACATTCAGTTGGGATCCAGGTTAACTTCAGGAACGTATCCATATCGTTCTCGCATAATTTGATCTTGAATACGTTGTGCTATAGCACGAGGGCCTTGCCTGATTTCATTTTCGGCTTGCCCAACATCTTGTATTGGCATATCAACATTAACTTCATTTTCTACATAAAAATCATCTGCAGGCAGGCGGTAATGAAGTCGCATGTTATGCAGTACGGCACATGCATTAACGATATGTCCAGCAAATGTTGGATCATACATTAATACGCGTTGGTACGAGAGACATCTCCACATGCCTTTAAAACAGCCGAAAAACCGCTCAATCACATTCCTTGCTTTACATAAATCAATTGTATACTGAAATTGTCGAGTTCCTGCACGGTATTGCGGCAAAGGTGTCATAAGCCACGGTTCCAGCGGGTATCCAGAATCACCTGTTGGAAAGTAATAATTCTACGAAAATGTATGTACGTTGCAAAATTGTGAAAATATATTCATATAAATACGTCTTAATGTGTGTGGTTATTAGAAAATGTATGTCCATTTGTAACAAACTTCAAACTATTTCTGTACAATCATAGCCATTTACCGATTAACCACGTTCGACGCTCGCCCATATCATAGTGAAATTTCATGGCCCGACGGATTGGAGAATTGGTCCATATGAAGGAATCGTTTCTTGCCCCTGGCCACCTTGAATTGATATTGAGCAATCTCATATCTGGATCTACTATCTGAAAGTACATAAAATTATTACTAAAAATTCAGTAAAAGTTTCTGATACTAATGTATATTACAAGTCAATTGACTCACAGCTTGCACATTCAACGAGTGATTCCCATGATGGTTTACAAATGCTTCTTCGTGTTCTGTTGGACCTAAAATATTAATGAAAGTGCAATCAATTGCTCCAATTGCTCCTTCAAACGGCTGTGGTGCATTACGGAATTTTGTACGTGCTTCTTGGCGTGCTTCTCGAGTCATGGGAAATTGCACCCAACGGCGCAAGAGATGCTGATTAATCAAAGTTGTCACTGCATGGAGACATCGACTAACTACTGGTTGGCTTACATTGAAGTTGAATTGATCCCCCGTTGGTCTTTGATAACTGCCATGTGCATAGAACTGAATGGTTATCAACGTCTACAAAAAAACATCGTACAATAAAAGTAGCTCAAATTTTCAGTTAGTATGACTATAAATCAAGAAGCATTGTCACGTGAGAATATAATAATTACTTGTATTTCAGGAGATATACCAGTAGAACGTTGGCGAATGAGATCAGGCCTTAACAAATTTGTTAATTCCATTGCAAGATCTGGACTTATGCGAAAAATATGCATGAATTCATTATGAGGGAGATCAAATGGATTCTGCACGTCTCTCAACATTCTCCGTTCTATGCGCCTTTCCATTTGTCGCACTCTTTCTTGCAGTACCATAAGTTCCCAAATGAGAAATCCGACAGCCATTACGTTCCTATTTCTTTAAAATTTGAAATATTCTTAGAACGTATAAGGTTTGTTCGCATCGCATGCGCTTCGACATGCTCCTACTAAGTAGTAATAGTAGTATTAAAGTATAGTAACAGTGTTAAGTATACAACATACAACTATTGTTTCGTGATCAATAACACAACCTCACTTTTTACTGTCAATATTTCAACAGCACAAACAGATCTATGAATAAGATAAAGTTATTTCAAGTATGTTTTTTAACTTTTACACTTCAATAAATCAATAATAAATTCACAATCGTATTTATAACAATCATTTTACGAACGTGCTTTGAAATACACAATTTAAATAAGCAAATCACGGTAGAAAACTTGATACTACGTATGCTACCGAGCGTCGTTATACGTTAACGTCCTGAATCCCTCGCTTCGATAATGGCCGCAAACGACAAATTTCGATAACTTAACGAATGCGTTACCGTCAAAATTCGTTATCCGAGTCCTACAGAATACCATTTCTCGCTACTGCATCGCTTCGGTAACTTAACGAACCGACACTTGTCGCTAACAGTCTTAACGAGTTACAGAATAGGCCTGAGGGGCGTTGACGATCACCGATGCATGCGGGTACTTACGGGGTCTGTCAGGCTCAACAGTACACACGCCTACAGTTT